ATCCCTCTTTTGCTAAGTGATTGGAAACCTTCACCCACAGTTTTTTGGCTATTGGTTTCCAAAATTGCTCCTTCATTTTTAACCTGATACTTATTAAAAGTCTGGCCATAGCATCAGTCTAATTGGCATTTCACGTAAGTAAATCTGAAAAACAATATATCAAATTTAAGTCTTTATCTTTAGGAACATTTTGAAACGTATTTAATCATGTCCAATCATTGTGTAACTATTATTCAACAATTGTAAAGACTGTTCATTTAACTATGAAATTTTGCAATACAGTAGAGCGTAGTTTATCTGAATCAATTGCGGACTGGGGTTGTTCAGATAACTTATTTTTCGGATAACCGATTGTGTACGAAAAAAATATATTAACTTATCCCATGTTTAAATTTTTATCCATTGCATGTCACTTTGCGTTGAATTTTCATCGATGTTAAGCCTAACATAAACTTTTAAAATAATAATCGTGGTTATTGTAGCGTTAAGAATTATTTCTTTATTTTTTACAAACTAAATAAATATATTGAAAAATATAAAACCAAAAAAAATATACAGTAGACCCCCTATAACGCTTAGATACGTTCCACATTAATCGAATTTTACGTTGTAGGAATGATTAAATACATGAGCCAATCGCAGCCCGACGCGTATGAACTTTACGGAGTAAGGCTGTTTGAAAGGTTTTCTTCTATAAAATTAACCGATTCTAGACTAATTCCACTCAACATTTCCAAAACACATATAATTTTTTGGGAATAATGTGTATAAACTATGATATAAACAAAAAATTATAGGATTACTTACCGAGTGTGTACTGTTCGACTACGCCGTTGCTCAAAGCTTGTTTTCGTCGCGGAACAGCACACGAAACGGCGGCCGCGATTTCTGATAAATAATTTTTCACAGAAAAATAACTTGACCTTTGGACACATCATTAATACAAATAATTTTTATGGCCGTTGAATAAGAAATGTTTCTTTCATAAGAAATATATAAAATTAGTGCTGTATTAGACTTACGGTACCTAATTTACATACTGTACAGACGATAATAAACTCAACTTACTAGCCTAAAATCTTCGTAGCGTGTTGCCAGGCGGCAGAAAGCATATATATAATTATAATAAAGTTACAATAAATTAAGTTAATATATAATTATATATACAGTACCTAATATATGTATAATTAATATATAATTATATGTACAGTACCTAATTTATATATAATACTAAACAGACGATAGCAAACTCAATTTAGCCGCTCCGTAGCGTGGCGCAGGGTCGGAGGAAAGTAGTTCGGCTGCTCATCCACTATTGGTCCAGACTCTATCAATCTTGTCGCGAAACGACGTTATAGGAGGTAC